ACCTAAGAAATAGTGAAACGAACCAACAGCCAGACAAGAATAACAGAGCACTCAGTCAGAGATGTTACATCAAAACAGCAATGATGTCTTCATGAATTGAAACAGTTCTGGATCAAGGAGTAGCCATACGAAAGAGATGTTAAATGGGAGTTTGTCTCCCTTGTCACACTTAAAACAGATGGATGTCAGATCTGGGCTATCAAAATTTTTCAGCTTTTGTGACTTCAGTTTAGCTAATAATCTGACAAAAGCATGAAGCCATTTTTAAAAACACAGGGACCTCAGGGCTGCTGTCTTGGCTTAGGCTGACAGACAGAGAGGTCTTTGCACCTTAGAGAACATAGTCCTGACAAATGTTAAGCAAAATTGTTTTTAAGTGCAAAGCACTTTGAACTGCATTGTGGTTAAAATGAAATAAACTTCATTTGAAATTGACTATGAAACTTAGAAAACAAAGGTCAAACATGTCAGACGATTAACTTTGTCACAATATTTTACGAAAGTCACCTTGAAAAAGAAACGTGACTACCAATTAAAAGGTCAGTTGTTTTCCTTGATTTCAAAAGTAACTGAGTTAGATTACAAGTTGCTACATTTGTTACATTCAGCAGCTCCACACAACCTTTTCCCCTAATTTAAAAATGATAATTGGTGTTGTCAATGCTAATTTAATTAGAAGTGTGTTTTTAAAGTAACTGTGACATGTTTATGGGAACAGAGTCTTCAGAATCTGTTCACTGCAAAGTGGTGATTGAACGATCCATTATTGAAAATGTACATTTTTGTAAGAACAAGCTAATTTATGCTTAATGTAGTTTTGTATTAATTTAGATAAACTTGTTTCTATATAAGACATTCAAAACAGTAGATTCATGGATGCATATATGACAGAACATGCATGCACTGAGTGTAAAATAGGATGTCAGATACAGTAAACAGTTTCATGACTGCAGAAATGATATGTTCTGCTCCCTTGCCAGCTTCAATTACTGGGATGTGAGAGGAGTATTGACATGTGGTCATCTGGTCTCCAACAATCTACCAAAGCAAATTTACCAAATGTTCAACTGATATGTTTCCTGATTTGGTTGTTTGCACAAATAAATTAACAAAATCTGTGTATTTATTTTAAACTAATCTGAAAATCAAATCAAATTATTAGCTGCTAGTGTTATTGCTTATTGACGTGTATTTCAGAGATTCTTTGTAAATATCATGCCTGGAAGATCAGCTTCCTTACTTTGCAGTAACTGTTATTGTCTATTTGTTTTGCATCTATCATTTTAGCTAGCTTCCCTTAAGCCTTACTTGTCATTCTGTGTCTTCTTTCACACTCCATCAGTATTAAGCAATTTCTCAGTTCAAACTGAGGAGGTGTAATCTATTGGCAAAAAACTATTTAGCATAATCTTGCAAACAAATAGGCAAACAACAATGACCCCATACCTCCATGTCGTACTTGCCTTAAGGAATAACAGAAAGCAGTGTTTTATTTCTTCTTTTTTTATGGCTGATCGGTATGGGGTGCAAACAGAATGTCTCAAAAAATCAAATACTCTATAAAATTCAATATGTATGCAGACTCAACAGATATACAAGTTATCTAATCCTTTAATAGTCTGCTTGAGCTTATGCCATTACAGATGGCCTCTGAACTCTGCACAATTTCTCACAACTGTTACATATAATAAATCCTAACAATTCAATATGTAGCATTTCACTACATTTCACTGACAAGGTAATACCTTGGCAATATTACCGGTAATGTTGACAAGGTAAAATATGTGCTCAGCTGCATATAATCAATATTTATGAGATTCTATTTTATAGTGTATAATTGTAACAATTTTAGTAATTTATAATTTTCTTTGTGGTTCAACATCCCTATTCTGATTATGACTGATAGAGATTATGCCCAATGAAACAAACAGACATATTTTTCTAAACTTTGCTGGTCATTTCACCCCTTCAACCATTTAATGCTTTTGCACTTTTGGTTGTTTGATAATCAAGTTTTTGAGGCATTAAAAAGAAGCTACTTGCCAGGAACAACAATCTTCTATAATTTGGGAGATATGATCTCTTTGGGCACACTGAATAATGCACCCAAAGATTTCAGATGATGATATGCTTTCATCTGTGGGCATATGAATACGAACGTGTACACACATTTGCAAATTCATGCACATAAATCATGTGAAGATTAGGTGTTGTTCTATATTGCCTTTTAAAAAATGCTCAAATTCACTAAAACAAAAATAGAGACCTAAACACCTGAATACTGGGATGTACAATGTGTGGACAGTGGAGGAGCATTGATGTAAGCGTTTGTAAGATCCAAACATCAGGGACACAGGTTGCAATGAAGGTGTGCAGATTAAAGCACAGACATGAAGTGAAATTTGCAATGCATCATGTTAGACTCACCAGTGAAATGATTTTGAGAAGGGGACAAAAGAAGGATTTACATTCAGAGGCGAGAAAAATCTTGGCAGACATTGGTTACCTATGTTGAGGGGCTTGCAAAGAGGTGGGGGCTTCTATTGACGAGCATAGTCTAAGAAAGATGAGTGTGGGTGCAGGATTGAGATCCTGTGGGGATGCTTTGTCTACGGCAGCGATATGGGGCTCAGACAGCGGATTAGTGCTTCTGCTCCATAATCAATTTGCTGTCTGGATCCCACTGCACACAACCCTAACCATCCATTTGTCGCTTGATCCTCCAAAATCTCTCTTTCTTTCTGTTTATTTTCCCAATACCGGTTAGTTTCGCCTTTTGGTTTACTTCACCCTCAAATTGTCAGAAAACTCTCTATTTCTCAACAAATATCCGGGTCCATTTTTATCCAAGTTCAAGTCCAAGTTCCGGGCTTTTTTTTTGGTTAGCAACTTGTTCAAAAAGTGTCACATGTCACACCTACTAAGGATTCTTCAAGGGTCTGCAGCTTGGTGCAAAATGGTTTGATCTGGATTAATATTAGTGTGTGTGTGTGTATGTGTTTGTATAGTTGTAGAATTCAACCTTTTCTAAGGGCAAGCCATTAGTTACATCTCACCCTCAGGTCCAAGCTGGCCGCCATCTGCTCCAGTGCTTAGGGGTCATAATACAGGCTGACCAATCAATACCATATTACATGTTGGAACCATCCTGCACCACTGGTCACGACTTTCCTTGGTTATTAAAATCAAGGCACATTAAACTCCACAGAGAGGAAATAAGGAACATTTTCCTAGAAGAAAGCAGCAAGACCACAAAAATGTCAAGTAAAAATCCAATTTCTATTTTCTAGGAAAAAGCATATTGCCCATCAAAAAGTACATTTTACCATAAATAGGTAGTTTTCACTTTGAAGTCTAGAGGAGAATAGGGTTTTTTCTTTAATAACAGATGGTCTAACATTTTCTCAAAGCCTTTTTTTCTTGTGAATGTGTGTTGTCTGCATCTGGAGCAATTTCAGATGAAAGGCCATGAAGAAATCAAATTAGGTAAAAACCTTTACCTTCTTTACTTGCTCTCCTGTCAGGGTTTATGCTCCAAGTAAAGAAAGCAAGTAAAGAAGGCAAAGGTTTTCACATTTGAGAAATGTAAAGGAATCTCTATTTCAGATTGCTTTAAATATAAAAAAAAATGTAAAATACTCCTGAATGTATATTACCAAAATTAGTTTTCACTTTGAAACCTACCTATCATAAACAGGTAATTGTTTTTACAAGTGGTTATGTTATAAAAGTGGTTTTATGTCATAAAAGACACGTTTGACATACAATGTCCTGCCAAAATATACAAAACACTAGAAATGTTTCCACATTAACAAAATCTTAAATTGCTGGTATTCTTAGAGTGGATACAAATTTGTGAATTTGTGCCTAGAACTCACATCCCTTTAAATAGAGGGAAATATTATAATTTACATAATTTTGTTCATTTGGATTATGTCCCAGTTTTACATATAATTGTTCTGCTGTAGAAAAAGTTTAGCCAACTTTCAAGTCTTTTGCAGTCTAGAACAATTGTTTTTCAGAGTTGCCATGTATTTTGCTTGATCCAAATTTTCACCAATGGTTTAGCTTTATAGCCATGTTTGCATGTCACACTTTTCAGTATTTTTATTTGTAAAAAAATGTTTTAAATCATGTATAGCACTATGTGTTGGTCTTTCACATAAAATACCAATTAAATATATTTATGTGTGTGGTTGCAATGTGATAAAATATGGAACAGTTCAAGGGGTATGAATACTTTTGCAAGTCATTGTATCTAGGAGTCAGTGTTAAGGGGGTTGAATGCAAATGTATGTCACTCATAAAAGATTAATATATGTAAATTATTTCAATGTAAATAGTTTTCATTCCACTTCACAATTACACACTACAAAAAAACTTTTTTTCTTTAGTTGTAATCACACAGTATGGGAATATATTCACAATGCATCATTACTTTTGCAAGGTACTGGGGAAAGAAAGGCAGACACTAAACACATAAAATACCTGCTAAGCTGCAAAAACAGATTTATGAAAGAAACAAAAATTAAAAAGCAAGAAGAAGAAGAAAAAGGTGTGAACAATGTGAAGAAACAAAGACTCTTCTCTGGTAATTACACAACAGCTTCTTGCATGTACACAATACAACTACGCATAAGTTAAATTTCTGCCTGCCAGCCACTGTTTCATAGGCCTTTCATCTGACTGGGCAGGTTGTCACCACTACTGCACAACTGTGACTTGCATGTGATCAGAAAGGTTTGGGGGTGAGGCAGGCCTGATGTGACTGCAGGGAGTTTGTCAGATGTTTGAAGGCAGAGCTGGCAGGTGGAATTGTTTGAGGAAGCGTAAAAAAAAAAAAAAATGTGTGTTTCTCTGGGTTGTATTATGCACCAGGAATACTAGTCAGTTTCATGGTGAAAGTTGCACCAAAAACTCAAGCACAGAGGGGTCCACTTTCTGTAACACCTACGATTGTGCTATAAGAAAGTGAGCATGAATCACACAGGCATTCTTACCTTGGCCTGGCTTCAATGTCGTGCTGAAAACAATGAGAAAAAGAAAGAAGGGAGGGGGTGACAATGAGACATAAAAGATTATTGCAAGTGTTGGAATCAACAAAACAATTTTATAAAGTCAGATAGCACAAGATATATTAACATCTGGTGTGCCTTTAATTCAGACCAATTAATTTCCACTTTCAGTCACCACTTGTGCTCATGTATATTCATGAGGTTTTATAGGAACTATCTGGAGCAAAGCACCAGTAAGCTGCAGAAATTATTCATGGGCTAGCTGTTACTTTTTCTTTGAGTAGGAAACTATTTTAGAATTTTAATTTTTTAACCGTCAGCTTATACGTATTGAAGACTGTAATTTTTATATGAAAGAAAAGTGACTTTTTACACTGTAATGACATTTTACCATTTTACTATTATCATGAATAAACATTGGAAAACATCTCTCATTTTAATCTCAATAAAGAAAAGATCAATGCAATAAAAAAGTGATAGCTACGTTGATTTATCTCCACTTCTTCCATGAATCATTTACATTTACTCTGGATGCAAGCACCCCTGCAGATAAAACCCAACAAGCTGAAAATTACGGCACTTTGATACTATTGTAAGAACCTTTGCAACTATAAGTGCCGAGAAACGGATTAATATATCTTAATTACCTATTTTCTGTGTTATTCAATAGGTTTAAATGAGCTGGGTCACTGCCATGAAAAGGGCAATCAAGACTAAAGAGTCAGCAGTCAAACGATTCAGTCTGAGCGTGCGCTCTCTCTCGACAAGGAAAACCAGCCTTGCATATATTAATAGTTCAATTCTAAATATTCATTACATAGAAAAAAATGTGCATCGTCAGAAAAGAAGATGAACGAAACACAAACTGAGTTTTTCCTTTTTTGGCAATTGTCCAGCTTGAAAAATTGTTGAGTGTTTAGATTCCCAGACATAATTACATTTGGAAGGAGCTGCATAGAACTTTTTCTAAAATACAATTTCAAATATGAAGTGACACCAGTACATGTCACACTGAATGAGGCAGACACAATGGAATATTATAGTTAATTACAGAAATATACAGTTTATCTAAATATGGCATGCACACGTGGGAGTTTTTATGGTATTAAAAAATGTGAATGATAGTTTACCTTTTTATCACTGTAATTTCACAATAACCAGCCAGAATTTAGTAAATCTGCTAGGAAATCTCACCAGAAGAGGACTGTGAGTGGACTAAAGGTTTTCAGAAAGAAACAAGTAACAACTGTTGAGATGTTGAATGCTGACAGATCTGAACCAAAGATAAATTCATGCAGTCTTTCAAACAATCCTTCAACAAAGTATTAGTTTTAAGGCTGTACATTCTTAAACTAAACAACCAGATTATTGCAGTTTTTTATTTTACTTTTTATTTTATTATGTTATTTAAAGGTTTATATAAATCCCTGTAAACCTGAGAAGCAGAAGCCCTACATGCAACAGAATCAAGTATGAAGTTACAAATTCACTGCTTACATGTGTTCAGAGCCTGAGATCTTTTTTTAGAGCATGTCTTCACTTAATATATTCAAATCATATGTATGCACATTTTAAGCAGCAAAGATCTAACCGTGGATTTAAAAGTCAGAGGTTACTTATTGCCCAATGCAATTTTTGTAAAAATGTAGCCTTTGGCACTTTTTAATAAAAACATGTTGAGGCAGAGTTTTTAATAATGGTTGAAGACAGATTGAGACAAAGTCTCTTAACATATTCTGTCTCTGCTTTCTACAAATTTGTCCATTTTCAAATGCGTGCTGACCTTTATTGTAAATCTATGTACAGTGGTATATTATGACATATTTGTTCAACCTAAAGCAGGATTGGTTTCTGTAATTATGTTACTTATTTTCCATTAGGCTGTGTTTTACATTACAGTTGATAGATTCAGCAAGTCAGTCAAGTGATGTCGGCAGTATTTGAGCCTAATATGTAAACATTTCTGGCTTCAGAACAAGCACTTCACTGAGAAAAGCAAATTCTCTCTCATTTACATTCTGAAAAGTAAAAAAAAAAAAAAAGACAAATCAAATTACAGCATAAATAACAATTAAAATGCTAATTTATGCAATCCTTCACAAATTAAAAAAATAAAGAATCTCATCCCTACAGAGACTCATCTCAGGTGACTACACTTTCTATTGCCAACTTTAGTAATAACAAATACAGCAGAAGCTCTGGAACTCTCAATTAGGGCCAGTAATGAACCTGGCCCACCATGGATTTACCTCTCAGTGAAAAAGCAATCTGCATATCAGCTATTACCATTACTACAGCCTTTTAAGCCATGCATAGCATCTCCAGGGAAGCCTCACGCCTCCTGTCTTCACTGGGGTGACTAAAATGTAGTGAGTGAAAAATGGACCAACGGGATTTTTTTTTTAAATTTGGCATCTATAAGTACTAAAAGCCCTCTGCAATTTTGAAATGAGACATATGGGAGTGAGGTGCTTAAGAATTTGATGAGTGTGAGGACATGACTTGCTCTTCTGCCAAAGCTCACATCTTCCAAAAGCTCTATGTTATATAGAACAGCTATGCAGACATTGGGATTTAAATGGCTCTTTGGCATGAAAAGAAAATTTTAGAGCATATTTAATGATTTTACAACTTTTCATTTTCAAATGTGTCCAGGCTTATAGTTTATGAGCGTTATATTCATTTCCAGGGTCCCAATTGAGAAATATGAAAAGGCACATGAAAGAAAATCAGCTGAGCAAACAGCAGAAAGGGGATGAAGGGTGATGATTCCAAATTTTTACATAAACACACAACACCCCACAAACGACAGATGCAACGAAGGAACAAATTGTAGCTAAAATGTAGTTTATGAAGTAAAGAGTTTTATGGTGATTCATAAAGTAAGCAAACAGAAGTCAGGAGAAATGCAGTTGCTTTAAAATATAATAAACTTGCATCCTCTCTGTAATTCTACTTAGTTTCCCCAAAACATTTTTAGGCACTCAAAAAAATAGTAATAAATAAATAAATCACTTCATGCTAATGCCACAATCTTGGGGGATGGAAAGAAAGTTAAAACAAATATTTAGGCAGCAGGTGAAGTTAACGTTCTTGATCATTTGTCTTACAGCAGACATGTAAAAAAAAATACAAAAAAAAAACACTTATGAACTATATTGGTCATTTAGTCTCTCCTTATCACTTTTGTGCAGTGGCATAAACTAACCAGTGCCCTCAACTTTTTCATATTAAATGATCCACTAAGAAACCAACATTATAATCTATAGATGGTGGAGGCTTATTGCTTCAGAGTCACGCAAACACCATTTGTTTTATAAAGGTAAGCTGAGAGATTTCTTCTTCACTTTGAAAAACATTAGATTACCATTTATTTGTCTAATCCTTTCCCATTTTAATGGCTCTAAAACATATTTGATCTTTAAACAAGGAAAGATACAATAGAAGGACTGCAATAAAATTGGTTACATGCTTGTGGCTCTTTTATGGCATTTTCCTTAAGAAATGACATGCATAATGTGATTGGAATGATAGAGGTTCACTCCGCGTCTGCAAGAATCTCCACTTTTTTAATCAAAATCACCCCAGTTGCTGTCATTGAAGCCATCAGGGTTTTTTTTTTCTCTTGTCCACAGAAGAGAACTGATTTTTAGCATTAGCTGCATTCTGTGACTGAAATACAGGAGATAAATTCATCAGCTGTTTCTGCATTCAGTTACTATCATTAAACTTTAGCAAACCTGAGATGCGAAACCAATGCATGTTTATGTCATCACCTGCTCTTCATGCATTTGAAAAATTATTTGATGTGCTTTTGAGGCATGCTTTGTATTTGCTTCTGTTCCCCATAATTCTTGCACTGTTTAATGATATGTGTTTTATCTTTTTGAAGAATACTGGCTAATCTGACATTTCCATTCTGAAGGCTTAGGTTTACAGTTTGTGGAGAAGCCTCTATGTTTGCTCACTTGAAGTCTTCTCTGGAGAGTGTCCTTCACTTTGCCAGATGCTAAGGAGTGTATTTTTGTCTCTCTATAATAAAAAGAATCCTGTGATCATCCCTCACTGTTCTGTAGACGTCCAAGCCTTTGTATGTCTTCCAAGTTTTTATTTTTATTTTTTTCAAAAAAGTACAAAACTATTGATTTTATATTTTCATGCAACTATCTCTTATGTATGTTTGTATAAATATATATAATATCTAGAATAAATCACTGAGCTAGTTTGACCTTTCAAGGGAACAAATCTGTGTATCACTGCAGCTTCTACACTAGCAGAATTTAAAGAATAATAAAACCTTGGATCTTTGCTAAATGGCTAGAAGTATAAATCCTGAATAACTGTAAGAATAAGAGCTAAATCTAATCCAAATTATGAATAGCTGAGATGTCACCAAAATTACTCCTGTATTACAAAATAAACTAAATCTGTGCTGTCCTTAAATAAATGTTATTTAAAACCTTCAAAGAACTTTTTGTAGCCTTGTGCTCTGCAACATCAATTTTGAGGCTTCATATGTATTAGATAAAGTGTTTTGTTAAAGTGGAAATATCAGTAATATGCTAACAAATTATATTTCATATTGTTACTGACAAGTGAGTAAGAAACAAGACATTAAATAAAACATGCTGTTATCCTAGTACTGGATAACCTTCTACACTTTCAATTTAAAATTATACAAATCATCTACAGCTTTAAAAAAATCACTGAATTATTTCATTTACAGAAAAAAATTTACATTTCTTTTCCAATTGCTAAAATTGTAATAGTTATACTTGTGCATCTTCAAAATTCTACAGTAACTCAGCTTTGTAGTATTGAGTAAGTTCACAAAAACAATGAGAGTGAATAAGAGAGGATCTTCTCACCAGTAATCTGTGGACTGGTCCAGGCTTCGCTGCCAGGACCTCTGCCACCGCTGCAGGTCCTACTGCTTGAGCCTCAGCCTGTTCCAGCAGGCACAACTGGTGTGTGATGTTATCCATCTCCTCCTGCAGCTTTTCAGTTTCGAGGGTGATTTCAGCAATTTTCTCTGCAGCCGATGCTGTAAGGAAAGCTTCTTTGAGGTCCACTAGGTGAAGAGTTCGCCTCTCCTCCAGTCGAACCAACCTGCGGAGCTCATCAAACTGGCCACTGACATATTCTTCCAGTTCCTCTGTAGACATCTAGTAGAAAATATGATAGAGAGGAGGAAATAAAAACAAACAAAGGTATTACAACCCCAAACTTTTATGAATTTTAAACAAAAGAAAGAATTCCCACAGCATGATGGTGCCAGCAGCAAGTTTGCCAATGATGTCATGGACACATAGTATTAGAATTTGTCCATAGTATTTTGCATGCAAGTTAAAGAGTAACATTTGGGTTTTATCTGATCAGATCATCTTCATCAGGTTGGTTGTATCCTCTAAATAGACAATCTGTAAACAAGATGTCTTCTGCAATTCTTTTTTGTGACTTTAATGTCAATAATTTACAAGATGTAGGGGTATATGAATAGTTTTCAAGGCACTGCAAGTCAGTGACTAATACTGTAGCGGAACATAGCAAAATAAAGAGATCAAAGAAAGCGAGAAAGAATCAATGTCGTTGTCTTTTTCAAACAAATTTCTACAAGTCAACAGGTTTCTTTCATGCAGGAACTATTTGTTAGTAAGACATAGAATCACTGGGGCAAACTCTGCAAATCCCATAAGTAAACAGAGAACTAAGATGCTTCTTTTACAACAGAAGCCATCTGTTTTGCTTTCAAGATGGTTGACTTGCTCACCGAGAAACTTTTTAATTTCTCACCAAGCTCTCCGCTGAGACTCTTTAGATCCGACTCATTACATTAAAGCACCTCAATAAGCAGACTCCTCCTTACAATCCTTCCTATTGAAATGACTCCTCCTTAAAAAAAAGAGGCCGTCATGGCGTAAAACATTCCAGGTTCTCTTGCCATGGTCTCTTCTCTTTAATGTGTTCTAATTGTTTTAATCTGCAAACATCAGCTGCTCTATCTCCCTTTTTCCCTGGAGCTGAATTTAACTCTGTTCCTCTCCATTCACTCAGTCTTGTTTCCCTTCAGCCTCCCTCTCTTCAGTGAAGCAAAGAATCATTGTCTTCACAAAGTCTGGCAGAGTGAATGCCCCCAAGGGCCCAAAGTTTTATTATGCATTTGCCATTTCTTCACAAGCAATCAGATTCTCCAAATTGCCCATTAAACCAAGCGCAATAGGTAACACTTTTAAATTACTCTTTCTATGAGGACAGAAAAACATGCTCATCATTCATTCTGAATAAGACAGAAGGAGAGAGTTAACATCCAATAGGAGAGCAATGAGTTTTTCTCTGTCAGTCCCAAATAAATTAACAACCTGAATATATGTTTGAGAGATGAGGCACGAAAGCCAAGAAATTAGGTTGGACAACGCTTCAGTGCTTATCTGGACTTGTTAAATGCATCTCTAACTCTGAAAGACTGGTAAGGCAGCCGTAAGATTTAAAGTTATAGCATTGTCATTAATCACAACCACTCCGGGATTAATAGTTAATGAAATTAACAAAATACAAGGGTTAATTTTAATAAAAATTGCAGCTGCAGGCTCTCTGAGAATACAGTATAAACTAATAATTTACATGACATTTACTACTAGAATTTTGTATTGGAACAGCTGCTGTTAGTTTGTCACTTTCTAACACCTTTTATTAGCTTATCACTGTATATCAACAAAACTCTAACTCCGAGCTTAATTTGTATGCAAATATTAAGTATAGGAAGTTTTGAATTTAAGCAGGATCTAACACAGAATAGTTCAAATAAAATTGATGTCAGCGGTTTGAGAAGAATGAACAAATTAGTTTGAGAGAGAATCAAGCACTAAGTCATATCCTTACTTGTTACATCCAAGGTATGAGGAATACAATCTCTAATAAACAAGTCACATCTTGAGTCAGATGGGCTAAAAATGCAGAACGCACTGGGAGTGGCACTCTTGCCAACCGAGAAAGGAAAGATGAGGGTACAATTAAAAGGCTTACCAAAATTTTATGACAATGAACTCTAACATTGCTTGTTTACTCTACACCAGATCTCAGTCCAATAGAGAAACTTTGGGATATTGTGTAATCGGAGCTCTCTGCTGAGACTGGATGTGCTACACCCAAATGTGCAGCAAGTTTGTAATTCTCATGTCAATAAAAATCTCAAAGGAATGTTTCCAACATCTTACTGAATCAATGCCATCAAGAATTAAGACAGATCTGGAGGAAAAAAAGGTCCAATCTGCCACTAGCAAGGTACACCCAATAACAAGATAGGTGAGAATATAGTTAGACCACGGATGACCAACTTAATTCATTGAGAGCAACCATCTAGTAATTTTTTGATACGGGGCATCTGCAGGGCTGAATGGTTGGCAGCGAAGGAATTCAGCTATTTGATTTCGGTGCTTTGGAGCAAGAAAGCATTTAAAAGTTGCAGAAAAATAGCTCACAAAAACTGGACTTTGGCATCATCCACTAAATGATATTTAGGTATCAAATGTTTTATGCTGATGACACTACTAAAGATATTTTGTGGAGACGTAAAGTCTCAGTACATTAAAGTCTATACTTACAATAAGTTGTGGAAGTAAATTATTGTCGCATCGTCCTACAAACAATACATGAATAGAGAAACATGTCTCAGAGCAGGACATTTGTAAACTGTATATTATAACAAATTTTCAATCAATTGAATATAATACACCAGTCTCTAATCACGGGCTGACGTTTTTGGTAAAATAATGCATTTTAATTCCTTTCCATAGTCTATGAGATCCTAAAAGGTCTTTGGGAGAAATACATCTCAAGTTACTTGTGAGGTATGAACAAAATTCATCCAGAGGATCAAATATAAACTAGGAGAGGCAGAGGTAATTTTAGTGTTTCTCAAACTTGGATTAAACTACCCAAATGCAAACAATATAATATAAACAGCTCAACTGAAAAGTTACAGAACACATAATCTGTGGTCAGGCTGTGAGCAAAGGTTTATGAGGGTAATCCAGTGGGAATGCTTGTGTTTCAAATTGCAATCTTAAGTCACTGCACAAAAGGGAGATTTGGCTGGCAAGAGGGGACTTCTAAATCCATCAATAAGCTGCTGGTAGATTAGGCCTCTAAACTCTTACACCCACGCAACAATTCTTCAGACTCCTCTCCACTGTACACAATATATTTACTTTATTAAGGTTATATTCTAGCTGGAGATTTGGTAATCATATTCCGTTCTTCAGATTTGTTCCAAATATAACAATATTTGAAAAATATTTCTCAATTTCAGACATGTAAATGAAAGTAACCATGAAGAGTTATCTTGACAGCTACCACGTGTGAATACATTTGACATGGAAATAAATAAATAAATAAATATGTACATGTGCCTTTTGAAGTTAAGCTAAAAGCAAGAAGTCAGACTTCAGTTACTGAACATTTGGGCAGTTTGAATCTGTTTACAGCTATTATGGACCAGTGGATGAAGAAGATGGAGGAAATTCCAGAGTTATAAACACCATTTCACATTGACTGGTCTTGACTGACTGATTAATGTCTTATGTAAATGTATGCTGAAAACTATCTTAATATGTTAATGTGTTGAGAAAACAATAAAAAACTTAGATGAAAAGAAGAACAGCACTTGCAAGAATTAAATGATTTTATTTATTAGGAAATTTAATTTTCATATATAAACTACTCATAGTAATTTGTATTGAGGCATTAAAAAAATCGGATGCTCTCAACACAAATAGGGCTGCACTGGCTAACACAAAACTTTCCATCCTGTCTCTGTCAAGATTTACATGTGTACCATTACATCATCTCGCAGTACCTACAGAAAGCCCTGTGCCCTTTAAACAAGTCCTCATGGTCAACATGACGGATGTACACTGTGATCTGGGATGTTTGTGTTTGTGGAGTTTGCCAACAAACCTTTTGCTCTGGGGAAAAAAAAAAAAAAACTGGCCGCAAGGAAAGAGCATTCATGCATGCTAATTTTCATTAGCGTTACTGCAAGCTGAGGCCACAAAATGAGGCCTCAGGAGGAACAGCGGCACAATGCTTACGCAGGGAGGGCTGCTGTAAGGACGCAAGAGGAGCAAGCGGGAACAAGCCCTGGCAGGACATCAGGCTGATTGTTTAGGAAAGTGGGGACATGGCAAAAAGGGACAAATTAAGATTTATTTTATGCTCTTGCTGCGGTCATGTATGTAGCAAAGTAAACAACTTCTTGTGGCTAATAACCCTCTAAAACAGTTGATTTTATAGTTTATGAAAAAAATGTCCAATGTTCTTATGTGACACTTTAAATTACTAAACACAGCAACTATACTGAAAACTTTTGAAGTATAAATTCTGACCGGATACAAAGAATATGCTGTAGTCAAAAGTTAAGAAGAAGCAAAACTCCAGGAATTCAAAAAAGAACAATATGAAAATAATACTACAAAATACAAGGAGCCTCACGAAAGTAGCTTCAGCTTTCAAAGTTACACGTTTCACATTGTTTCAAAGAAACAAAGCTTTAGAAATTTAAGATAAATATCAATTTTTTTAAAGGTTTATTTAAAATATTCCATATGTAAATTAAATACACTAAAGAGCTTGAGCACAGAATTCCCGATTTAATGTTTTTTACACAGTATTAAATTGTGGGGGGCGGGATTTGCAAAGTGAGAGTTTATTTAAAATCTTTGGTCTTCCAAAATCACAGCCGACGGTGCTGCTTATTCAGTCCTCCTTTTGGTGTGATGTCTTTTTAAAAGGGCCTAAAAACCATTAATAATTCATTAGGAGTAAATGGTTTTGAACTGTCCTTGCCCTTGGCAATAGTGGACGTGTTCCAACACAGCAGTGCACTCTTACTTTCAAACTCTTTTATCTCCCCTCAGAATTAGATTTTCCAATTTAGCTTCTCACAAAACAAAGCAATAAATATAGTCTTTATTTGAAAAACAATAGCTCTGACACAATCACAGACATCATCTATATCTAAGAAAGAAAGAAAAATAAGATGGCATGGGATCTTATAATAGTTTCAATACCCTGCAACTTTTTTATTGCTTTTGAGTGAAGCAATGTCAGCCAAGGAACATTCCTGGTAATGCCATAAAGTAACAGAATTAAAATGTCGAGATAGAATAGAAGTGACAGCCTTAAAGAGCAATTGGACTGGATAGAAAGAACAGAACAAAGATAAAGATAGGGAAGATTTTTTTTTTTATTCCTCCACTGCCTGCCTCTCTGCTTTGAGTCTTTAAGACAGCTTTAATGTGCTTGCTTCTCTTGTAGATCATATAAGACAGTGAAAATGGATTTAGCCAATAAACACACATACACTTTTGTGACTGGCAGTGCTGTGCTCTGCTGATGTATCATATCACAGGGATTCAGCTGTAGGGAGCAGCTTTACAATATGTACGTGCCATCCCCCATACCGTAACGTGAAGAAACAAAAGGTAAGTTGAAGATAAATCTAGTTAGTATCTACCATAAGCACATAAATTTTCCCTTTTTGCTCACTGACTGCAGATAATGCTTAATAATTTAGATAATCCGCCTTCAGTGTAAACCTTTTGATATGTTAGTTGTGTTCGGTTTCACTTTGAACTGAAAATATGACTTTTAAATCACCATTCACCTCTGTATGGAAAGGACATACAGAGTCTTGCTGGCATGTTGATGCCCTTCAACATTTTCAAATTTTGTCAGCTTACAATCACAGACTTTAATTTTTCTTTATTTGGATATTATGTAACAAAATCCAAATGACAAAGAAAATGAAAAATAGAATTGTGGATTAGAAAGTATGTTTTATATGTATAGATGCATGTTTTTTTTTTGTATCCATAAAAAATAAATAAACATATGGCATTCAAGTATATACAGCTCCCTTTACCCCACTACCATTAAAGACTGTTTTCATCTGTTGGTGAAACTTGTTGATCACTATCGTTTTATTTCTGTGAAATCCAGCAGTTCAATAAAACCTTGAAGGTAATTAGAGAAAATGGTAAACAAATTATGTGTGCTGTGTGTTTAGAGCATGACACAACTGAAAACAAGCCTAATATAGTTTTGTTAGTTGTGGGAAAATTGAATGACGCTACATGCAGTGCAATCCTGGAAGAACACCCATTAGTGTCTGTTAAAGACTCGGCATATTCACCTTTCACTAGCACAACACACATAGAACCAGAGAAAAATGGCTCCAAATCCAGACCTGACTCTATTAAAGAATATGTTGCAAGACTTGAAAATTGCTGTTCAGAAGATCTCCCTCCAGACTGATTGAGAAAAAAGAAACATAAATCAGCAAAAATTTCAAGATGGACAAAGCTGGAGGAGACTTACCTGAAAAAATTTATGACTATACCTGTATTGAAAGGCATTTCTGGAAGGTACTAACTCAGTGGAGCTGTATATAAATTGAAACATTTCATATTTGTATAATCAAAAAGCTTGAAAACTATGCAAACTTGATTTTTCATTTCAGTTACATCCTATTTTGTGATGATGTATCATACACTTAGGTTTGTGGTTATAATGTATTAAAATATTAATATATTTGCAGAGTGTGGAAAATAATATTTTTGCAAAACACTGATATAAAGCAGGCTGGATTCAAGAAGCAAACTGATGGTAAGGGTTAAATCTTTTCCAACCAGACAACCACTCTGGCTTCTTCGTACTGAAAGTGTTTCAGGATGTCAATACCATGCAATTTAGCCTACTCCAAATGCACTTTGTGTGTCTGTCTCTGTGTTGCTCACATACTTAAGACATAACCTTCCTTACCAGAAGCAGCCTCTCTGAAGGCTGCCTGTCATGCATAATAATAAACACTGACATTTGAGGGAGCAGAAAGGACACATCGACAAATCCACATAATGGTCTCTAACACCAGGCCCGGTGAGTGAGCAGGTAAGAGCTTTTCCCCAACACACTGCTCCCCTGCACTGAAACAGCAAAATGCACAACCTTCAGGAAAACCTATAGCTAGAGCTGGTATATCAATATGATAATACATATGAACTGTAAAGGAGGGGTAAAGGGTAAAGGGGAGAAAGCTACAAGAAAGAGTGTTATCTCCCACAGGTGAGGGAAATTAACCTTTTACATTATGCCATTGTGCCTGGGTCACACCTCATAGTATTCAGCTGTGCTCGGGTATGCCACTGCTCTCCTTTAGCGTTTTTGACAGAGGTGAAAATGTGTGGATGGTTGAGAGAGCAGGAGATGCTACTACTTCTGCTTTCAGTGGTAATTTGCTGAGACCAGAGCCGCACGTTTCTGATGTTGCTTTTCACTCTTCTGCCCTTCAATGCACAACCCTCTAACTCTAGGCGGTCAGGTTTTATTTTCAGTGACACAACAAGCCTCCACTATACGGCATCTGTAATGGAAATACAGAAACTATTTTCAAGGTTGGCTTGCTATGAAAATTCACCTTAAGTAGTTTTTTTTTTTATTTCTCTCCTTTAACATGAGCAGAAATCCACAAGTTGCACTGTTCTGCAGAGAGTAACCTGGAGGAGTTTCAACAGGAATGCAGAAAAAAATGTTCCATGCAGACAAAAACTATCAAGAGACAAAAAGCTCAACAACAAACCACAGCAGAATTAAGCAACCATCAAGATTAAATATTTCCTATATATGGGTCAGAATTCCTTTGAGAGCAACCATATTTGAAATATCTATACACTGAAAAGCTGCTCAAAACTTTACTCGCACACAATACCTCTCAAATCTGTCAGCAACTTTATTAAAATTGAATGATGGAATAAATATTTTTTCCAGCTTTTTTTAATGTAGCAATTATCCTGTAGTAATATCTCCAACACACACACACACACATATTTGTTTTTCAGATCTAGAGTACAGATATGACATTGTATAAAAAGGGTGTGCAGACATTTGGGGGTCACTATTCTATAACTTTTGTTTTTCCTTCCATCAACTGCCTAGGTTCAAAATCAGTTTAAAGATACCTTGAGGACATTGAGTATTCCACATTTCATATAAAAACCCTGAATATTCACTTTGGAAGAAAATAGACAAATAAAGGTGAAAAGACAGCTCTTGACTTTGCACAAATATGCTGACACAAAGAAGTGACATCAGCCAAAGCCTACAGATGTCCACACTCATGTCATGGTTCAAGCTGAATTTTATCTGCAGAATCCGTAACAACAGACTTGGGAATGAGGCAGCATAACATTCTGGACTGCTGTGCTTCTGCAACAACCATAAAGCTGTGCTGTTTAATGCTACAGACTCTACATGGCAAATAAATAATTTCTCAGCCTCTTGATACAATTGAATGCAGGTTAGGAATAGATTTGCCTTTTATTATTATATTAAATATTTTCTGTGAGATTGCAAAAAAATATTAAGTTTTAACATGTATTATGTTTGTTGGAAAATAGTCACATCTGACAATAGCGTTTTCTTTATGAAGGTGGTTTGTTGTTTATGTCTTTGACATGAGGTCATCCAGGGTTCTGATTAAAAACATTGACTAATTTTGTGAAATAGCACAATAAAGACATTTATTGAATAACACAAGTATTGGTGATGAGGCAAAAGTAAATGTCTTGGCACTTTTATTTTGTTTTTTGCAGAATTTCTCATTACTGTCACACGTACAGCTCTGTCTAAATATGAGTTATGCAAGAATTATAATATAATGGAATTAAATATCTTGAAGAAAATTGTGTGTTTTCAAAGTTTGGAAATTGTGCTGAATGAAGCAGCAATGGATGCCGATTTCTTTGAAGAATATGAAAGAAATTCTCATAAATCAGTTGAACAAATAGGCCATCAAAGCAGAAAAAATCAAATCAACAATATTCTAGGTAGCTCAGTAAAGTAGTATATTTTATTCACATTCCATCACTTCTATGTAATGCAAGGTTATTTATATACAACCAATCATACAAAGTTAATTGAGAGTGACTCATTTATGTGGTTAATCTTTTCCCAATAAAATATTTTAATTCATTAATTTATATGAGCTTTTTCATGTTATTGTCAACTTTAATAAAACTATTCCAGACATAATAGTGGAACTACAAGTAAATCCTATTACAAAATCAGTAACACAAAGTTCTAAAGAAACATCTAACATGAATCTCTATATCCAGATGTAGATCACATAAATTTTCTTGTGCTGCTTTGAAGTTATTGGTTAAATATAGCAGTTTGGAGCACATCTCCTGAGAGGTGCTCTTTAGCAAATTCTGATATCAACTAAACTGCGTTAGTATTTTATTTGGAGTTCAGGAAAGGTCTGCACTCACCTCAGGGTTAGTCCACTTGGTCTTGACGTTTTCAGCCATCTGCTGTGTGTAGCCCAGCAGGTCGTGACCCTGCCTGCTCTGCAGATAGAAAACGTCAACAAGGAGTAAATACAACAGTGTAAGATACTACATAAAACCATGAGATGAACACAAATATTATGGCATAAAAACCCAACAATATATAAATTCATGCAAAACAGTATTTGCATGAATCGGGCACACAGATTTTGGTGATAGTACTCCACTTTTGCCACACAAAATAAATTATGTGTGACATCAATGCATCCTTGACTGCAACTCTACATATAAAGCTTAATATCTTAAACTTGTGCAATAAACTGAATCATGTAACAGGTCTGCCATCATCACTCATCAGTAGAAATTGTTGCAAGTAAGAATGAACACTGAGGTAGGTCTAGACTAAATGAAAAGTCTTTGGGCCACATGTGTGACTTTTTTTTTGGTGCTCATTAATCTATGAGTGTTTTTTAGTATAAACCAGTGAGCTGGCTACTTTACCTTTCTTTTCCAGATGGACAGACACATGACAAAACAAAAGAAAATTTAATAAAATGACTTTGTATGACATTTTTTTTCAACTTTTGCCACATTTCCTAAAGCTATTGCGGTGTTCACAACTGAAAACTTTTGTTGCTTAAGCAGTAATTCAATGATAACACAGTGATTGACTCCATTAGACACATGTTAATTGATTCTCTTTGTAAACCTAACAACTTGCTACAAGATCTGCAGCATATGGTTGTTACTGTCTAGACAAGACGAGTGATGTCTTTTGTAAAATATAAAAAGAAAACCACAGTGGTGCCAGCATTTATTCATCCAGCACATCAGTCACCCTTAATGGAACCTTAGCTAAAGAGCACAGTGCTCAAGTCAGGCATTTTAAACATAAATACATGACAGATGTGGCTTTTGAGACTAAATGGTTCCTTTTATTTTAGGCCCAGACGACACAAAGGATTTCTACATAAAATCTGCAGAGGCAAAACTACTTATTTTTATCCATTCAAACTAATTTGAGAAGTCAACATTTTAATGTTTATGGCTGAGTTTTTAAAAAATGTATGCTTTGCAATTGTGTTTCATCTCAATGACAACTTTTTGGTCTATGCAGTGTTTATGTTTCACTACAATGCAAAACTGAAGTTAAATAGAAAATAACTTGAGAATACACTAAAATCTTTTTCAACCTCAGATGTTACAAACGTTGTTTTCTAAAAGGAAAAAGATACTAAAAAAATGGTTACTCATAAAAGTTTAGTTTTATTTAAATGGCATAAAACAGCCTTTTCTACGAGACTGTTGGACCTGAGCTGCTGCCTGGTGGCGGTGAAGAGCGAACGTCGGGGAAGAGCGCTGCAGGTATATGAATACAGGTGGGCGGATAGACTGTACACTGCAGGTGGCTGTGCATTAGATAATCAATGTATGTGTAGCTTTACGGACAAACCGGAAATTTATTTTATATCATCCCGGGGCGCATCGTGGCGGCACTTAGCTGGTCACACACTTTTGTGTGTGACGAACGAAGGTGTCAAATGAACACATGAACACAAAAGCTATAAATGTCTGGGCAAGGTGAGAGTTAATCTATTAAATTGACTGAAGATACTGAAGATACTGTAAACGAAAAGCTGGAGTATATAGTGATTTTTTATAAGCATATTTGTGAGCTTGCCTCTTTATTATTGAATTGAATACAATTTAAGATTTTTGTATAACTTTTCAACTGTGAAAAACTGGACTAATGTTGATATGCGATAGTAATATGGCTGTTATGTTAGATTTACCAATGTTTTACTTGATATTTTTTTAAATCTGATTACTCAATTAATTGTAGATAGATTACTCGATTACTAAAATATTATTTTACAATAGTAATTCATATAACCATTTGAAATGTAAACTAACAAAGTTAAATATGTATATCCAAGAAAACATAATAAATGATTAGAAATAACTAAACTCCAATGGTAATGTTATGCTTTACTGAACAACAGTTAAATTACTGAGCCAATTAAATATGATCAAAGGAAAAACATTGCGGAAAGACAAAAAACTATATTTATCCACATTTAATGTGAAGCAAAATTGACAGTGATGAGAGTTTCATTTCCATTTTATGGTTTTCAGGGAATGTACTTATATCGCAGTGCAGTTGGATCAGTTTAATAATGAAGTCATGCAGGTGACCATGAAATGTTGTATTTAAAATATTAAACTAAGCGCTTACAAAGCCCTGTTGAGCTGGCTGTAAGGAGTGAAAGGCCCACAGCTAGTGGAATACTTGATAATAAATTAAAAATGCAAAGCAGATAGGTGATAGTCTGAATACAAAATGCTGCAGGGCTGCAGATATAGTACAGCATGCCATAAGTGATTAGATCAAACACTTGGCATGTAATAAATCACACTCTGCTATCCCTCCTTGTATGAACCTGTCATGTTGTTTGCTGCTTACCTTTTGCCACACATAGGCCTCGTGCAAAGTGATGATCTCATGGTCCCTGTGCTCGCCCTGCACAGCGCAAACCACGCAGATGATTTGTTCGTCTGGTTTACAGTATAGGGAGCCTTCCTGGCCATGCTCTTTGCAGCGCAGTCTCTCCACTGTCACTGTGTCCCTCTTCCCTGCCTCTCCAGCAGCCGCAGCCGCAGCCTCAGCCTCTTCCCCATCTTTTCCTTCATTCTGCGCATTTTTTTCTTTGTCTGCATCCACGCACTCACCACCTTCTGCCAGATCCTGATTTTCATCCACTTGAGCTGCTCTCTGTTCACCGGATCCATCCTGGGCTGTACCTTCGACTCTTGAATCACTTTCTGTGTCCAGACCACAGGCCTGAGCACCTTCACTGTTATAAGGCATTAAGGTGTGCCGTGTGCTGCTGGAGTGTCTGTCAGCATGAATCGGGCAGAAGGCGAAGCTGCAGATGTGGCACACATGTGTCGCTGGTTGGGCTTCATCAGGCTCACATGCATCACAGGAGCCATCCATCTGTGGCAAATCATCTTGACTCAGCCCCTCCAGGGATTCGTCTTTGTGATCCATCGTGACTGAAATATCTGCGCATCACATAAATAAGTTATACTAGAAACAAATAGCATGGGACATGGTATATAACTAAGATCTGCTGGGAGTGATTGATATCTTTAAATGAGGGAAAAGTCTAAGATTCACAACTTTAATCCCTAACTTACAACAATTAGGCATAATATTATAATGACTGACGGGTAAAATAATACCCATTATCTCTTCATCAAGGTCCCTGATTTGGAATGAAATATATAGGACAACAAGTAAAGATTTTCTCACTGATGTTGATGTGTTAAAGCAAAAAGATAGAAACATAAAAGGAGCTGAACATGTTTGACAATAGCCAGGAGTGATGGCTAATGACTGGGTTGGAGAATCTGCCAAACTGCATCTCTCAAGAGGTTTTGTAGTGATCTCCAGCTATAAAAAGTTGCCCAAGACAGGAAAATTGGGGAACCAGTGACAGGGTCACAGACAGCGTAGTCTGACTAGCTCATGTACAAAGCGATTGTAGAGTTTATCCAAAATAAAATATGTTACATCTCACATTGCAATAGAAATTTATGTTGGTTCTGATCGATGGGCATCAGAATACACAATACATTGCACTTTGTTCTTTATGGGTTGTATAGTTGGTGTGAAAACAAAATTCCCTTATGGCTGTGCCCTCTTTCAGCCAGATATTGTACAGCATCACAAAAGGGCATACAAATCGTATGCAGTCCAGAAATGGTTTAAGAACTTGGGAATCAAATTCAAAAACTGGAAGATTACCATAATGTTAAGAACTTTGTGTTTCAGTGCTCATCACCTGTGTCCTCATGGACCCATTGACTTACATGTAAGCATTTTGAGGTTGATATTAAAGGGGTTAAATAAGGATTGTACTATTTTAAAGATCCTATGTTTTTTTTTTTTTCTTGTTTGTTTTTACTTCAAAAACAATGCATTTTCTTTCCAGTGCCAGGGCTATTTCCAAAAACATAATCTGAAATGTATTAAAATCTTTGTCGATTTCCATAAGGTTCCCCAACAATAAAAATGGACATTGTTGGGGAACTGCATCAACAGGTAAATCTCAGAAATTTCTCCCTTTAGTACACAACAAGGAAAACAAGCACCTGTAGGGCACTTATCGGATAGATTGGGGTTAGCCTTGTATATTTTCTATAGCGTTAAATAAAGCTGATGAAGAATATTAAAGTAGAAAAGACACATTTATATTGTCTTTAATTTAAGAAATTAGAGTAAAAAAATCGAACAGAAAGCAATAAAACAACTGACATTACACATTACCATATACAATCAACAAATTGCTACTTTGCAAAAATGTGTAGTTATGACATTATGTCTGATTAGTGGCATGCGTCTGCAGCACATTATGGACAGCAAAGCTCTGCAGAAAAAAAAATAAATAAATGAATGCAAACCTTGAACACAATAAAATACATTGTCCAAGTCCTATTAAATGGTGTCTTGCTTCTGCAGCTACTGAAATACCTTTTTCACTCTCTCCTTATTTACTAACTCAAAGTGCTGAGTATGTGTAGTCTCAGCGGGTCCAAATATCTCTTGCTCTCCCAAGGCCCTGACCTTTATGTTTTTCTTTGTGTGTGTGCGTGTGTTTGTGTGTGTAGGTATGTCTCTTCGAACTGAAAGGAGGAGGAGAAGGAGGACAAACATGCAATATATTGTTTACCTGTGTCCCTCTTTCTCTTTTTGAGCTGTTGTTTTTGTACTACTCATCAAGGCTGACTCAGAATAGCAACATAAACTGCTTGAATACAAGGGGGGGAAATTCTCCTCTTTGCTTCTACCACTTCTTTCTGACTAACGTATTCATACAAGACACAAATCTGTTCCCTTTCTTTTACTCAGCACGGTAGTACTGTTTACTTACTTGTTCGTGTCTTCCTCTCACTTGTCTCTGTGTACATGGGCTGCTTTACGATACGAATGTGTCTATTAAGGAGTTAGCTTAAGCGCTAACTTCCTTAGCCTTCTGTCACGGAGCTGCTACCTGATACATTTCTGTTCAAAACAACAGAGGTAAAGCTACGATTCCAGTCCAACACCATTTACTTCCTTATTTTCATGAACTGCTCTCTGCTTCTTTCATTGTTCATTTTTCATTCACAGCTTTGGGAGTGACTGAAAGAAACAGAGACACATAGAGGCCAGGCGGAGGAAAGACAGTTTACAACCACCAGAGAAATAGAGAACCCGGGGTAGGAAGACAAACCTGGTATTTAGTTTAAAAGTATTTTCATTTAGATAAGTTTGCTTATCATGGGGAATGATCATTCTCAAAATGGAAACTTTTTTGTGTGTGTGTGTGTGTGTGTGTGTGTGTGTGTGTGTGTGTGTGTGTGTGTGTGTGTGTGTGTGTGTGTGTGTGTGTATCTGTCTTATGACATTGCAGAATATTAAATCAGATGTTACGGCCAGTTACATGAGCAGCCTTTAAAAAAAATACTGAAGTAATATTATGGATGGTTACTTTTTACTTTTATTTGAGTAAAAATGTGTTGAAGCTCTTAGATAGTCTACCCACCTGTGTCCACAAGTAATTAAATCATTTTATCTTTAGGTATATTTCCAGTATAGACTGTTGGGGGATACAAGTATTGTTTCCTGAATATAATAGAAAATTTCTAATACTGCTTTTTCTTGCATGGTCACATGGGGTGTTGATGCCTAGTTCCAGAGGTCATTGGGCAAGAGATGGGGTCCATGCTGGAGGACAACTCACCAGGCCATCACAGGGCAACACAAAGAGATACACTCACAAAGTGGAAGGACAATTAAGAGAGAGTTAACCTCACAGTCATGTTTTCTGACTGTGAGACAAAGCCAGAGTACCCAGAAAGAGCAGAAGCATACCTGCAAAGTCCATTGTACCACACATCAAGATTTATTCTAGCATAATGTTACATATGTTAGGGAGAAGGGGATGGGTGCCAAGGACCCTTTTTGAATTCCTCTGGGGGCCATCCACCAACCTGGCCCCTGCCTGTTTCCGTATTAATACACCATAGAGCGACGCAGAGCCCACTCCCACCACAGATGGGATCCAGAACCCCAGGCATCAAGCAGGCCACGGCAGATGCACTCATCCTCCAAACCCCCAATACCCACCAGGGCGTACCCCAAAACCCATGCCCCCCGTACTCCCCACACCATTCTCAAAACCATATTCTTCCTCAACAAGCTCTGCTTAGAAATGAACTGCCAGCACAGCATCTGGCCCACCCACCAGGCTGAGAGTGACTGGAGTAACTTTTAGCCAGAAGACAAAGACAGACAGTCTCATACAGTTGTACAATAAAGACTTTTAAACACAGAGAAGTGTTTGCAAATTTGCTGCACACATGAATGCAGTCAAATTACGGATGGTCATCTACAAGAACATAGAGTCTAGTTTGCAGTTTTTCTAAAGATTGTTTTACTTTTTTTTTCTCGTAAGTTCGAATGCCATGGCCAAAAATAGAAAATGGTCTTTAAACGCTGTGCATGCCCTCAGACATTAAGCTTGTCAGATGATCAGCCCAGTTTGTCTCCGATTCAAATCTAATTAGTCATGGACTGCTGTGTTATTTACTGTATTCAAAACATGTGAGCAAAAAAAAACAAAAAACATGTACCATTAAAGGCCTGCTTGTGGATTATTAGTTGTCTATTAACTGCAAAATACTGATGTTGAGTATAAAAACTTTTTTCAGTGCCCTTTTTTTGTTGTATATTGTCTGTATGTATGTTTATAAGGAATTGCAGCAAAATGGGTAATCAGCAGATAGAAGGCCATGTGCATGTATCTGAATAGGCCAGGAACAGAGAAAATGAAAAGGCTCAGTTGGAAGGGCAGAGTAACTGTGAATGTTTCTTACAAGTCCTAATGAGGATTTTCTAATTATTATATCAGCTTTCCCTTCTGTTCCATGCCCACCATAAAGGAACACAGAGAGACAATGGAACAGGATTAGAGGTCTAGAGAGAGATACAGAGAAATGTGGAAAAACAAGCTGTTCTCTGTGGAGATCTAAATAGCCTATTGAACTGGGCTTCACACAAGCTCTATTTGGCAAATACTCACCGACTGGTAGTTTGGTTTGAGTGCTACAACAGAGAATAACCATTTATGTGTTCCAAGAAACCCTCCAGCATTCTGTGGAAATGGATTACTTTTTCTGCATTGCTTTGAAGAGATTTTCTCCTACATTAAAAATGGTGTTACAGAGGGTTATATACATAAAAGAGGATTCAATGGCAACATTTTTGACTGGAAAATATTTCTTTTGGCTTGGTTCTTGTGCAACACTGATGTAATGTCTAAAACTGAGACAGTGTGTCCTGTGGGTATTGCATCTTACCTGTGTACTGGAACTGGAAATGGAGCTAATGCAATTGAAAGCACAAATGGTTTTGCCTTGCACATCACAATGAACTCGGTTTTGCTTACATACTCATTTGCACTCTTAAACTCACAGCGTTCTCTGTGTGACGACACATGCACCTTTGACTTATTACAGAATGTCTAAATGCCTTGAATTTGACTGCATGGCGAAATTAAACTGTCGTTTTGCATTCTGCACAAAACTGAAAACAATTAAAAGCCTCATTGGCTTGCGTGTCATTACATTAGCAGTTAGAAAGAATGCAATATGCAGTTTCTTCATCTCCAAATGAGAGTTTTTGTGAAACAAAATGTGACACGCTGTAGGAGCTAAATTTGTTTACCTAAATTCTATTTCTACAGCTCAGGAACTGCTGTGCACGAATGCTTGCAACACAAAGGACATCAAGCTCCTAGAAATAACAGCCAAGACTGAAGGAGTCAGTTCTGGCAGAAGAGCAGAGCACACAGAAAACACTTACTTAATCTTTTGGCTTTAACATTGTGTTGCTGGCATGAGGTCAGTTGTTGGTCTCAAGATGAAATGTCCTGCAGGGGAATAGGGCTGCACTGTCAGAAGTGAATAAGTCTGACGTAAGTTAGCATAGCCCCCTCTCTGATGAGTTAGAAACCTAAACATAATAAATATATGCCAGTGTGGAAGTTGCTATAGACTTATGAAACCTATAATCTGAGTGATAAGTTAACATTTAGTTATTGTGGTATGAACATTGGATTAATTTTGTGATTTCAGAGATGCATTTAAGCTGTTCATTGTCAAGAGCTAAATTATTTTCCAACTTAAAAGTTCCATTAAAGCAAAAATAATGGGTGCAAAAGTTTATGATTTATTATAGATTTTCTATCAATTTTACCCTAACAAATTTAAATATACATACACCTCCCCTAGTGTTTGATGAAATGTTTCTTTAGAGGTTTTATTTTGACCACATGGCTTTTGTAGCTATCGGGGTTTTGTAGCTACATTCTGCTTGACAGAATGCATAACATTCAATCAGGGTGGTTGGCTTCCTGTGGGAAACCAGCTTTTAAGTACAACACACAGATATTCAACACGTTTTGATATGGATTTGGACAGATCATTGTGCAAGCTTGACAGCCTTCAAGAGCCAGGTTTAGTTGGGTTTGGGATCATTGTTCGGTCAGAAGATTTTATTGTGTGTTGGTTCCAAATGGCAGACATCCGAACCCCTCTGGATCTCCATGAAATGGTTTGTTCCTGCTTGGAGCCCTTGATGGTGACGTGTTCAGCAGCAATCAGTAGAAGACAAGAATGACTGTGGCTGTTACTTATGCCGCTAAGAAAAAGAATAAAGTCAGGTTTTAGAGAAAGGAAAAAACAAGAGTGCCAATTTATAACCCAGTTTTTCTCCAAGAGAGGTGGGTAAACTGTCTGAGATTATCAGCCATTTAGCATAATTAGCTCAGCTTCAAACTACTGTTTGCCTATATTTTACTAGCATTCTATGAACGAAGGAAAAAAAAAAACCCAACATATTCATATTTTTAACTTGCACCTGTACTTTTTACTACACTTAACACACAAGTCAGTCAGCAGCAGCTCTAACCCACCTCCCTCCTGATCTGCCCTCTCTGAAGTTAAAGCTGCAGTACGTAACTTTTACAAAACAAACATATTTTTAAAATATTTACTAAAACTGTCATTAGTTTGAGACAGTATAGTGTAGAAATGACTGTTGTCTAGAAACAAACAATCAGAGGCAGGAGAGTTATAGTGTTTTAGGACTGTCAATCACAATCTCATGTGGCTGCTCCCTCCCTCGCCTTGCTCTGGGAGCAATTTAATTTTTGTCAAGGGGCCCAAGATTCCTGGCGGCTCCCTTGCACAATACGTCAAACCAGGACCAAGTTCCTGCTTTTAAATGTCATTGAAGTTGTTCAGTATGCTGCATGATCAGTCCATTAAAAATCAACACTTCTGATGAATCATTAAAAGTTAACATTTTAAACTCAACTGAGTGGTGAAAATGTCTAATCTTCTGACCAGAACTGCATCCAATGAAGAACACAGATTAAAAATGAAAAAGACAAAAAAAAAATGACAATGATAATAATAGTTTGGAACATTATCCAATAGAAATAAACATAAATGTTTTACATTTCACTTGCTGATAAATCAGAGAGGCTGTTTTCTAAGATAAGCTTCACTTGTATTTGTACAGGGCATTTCAGAGGAGTGAACACTGTCAAGACTGAATAGAGGCACTGCAGTGTTCTGAGATATGGGTCAGTGCAGCCAGGCAGAGGCATAAAAATCTGTTTTTACAAGGAAGGGCACAATCAATAACTCACAATATTTACTCAAGAACACGACTATTCTCTCTGGTAAGTCAGGGTATTCCTGGACAGGTTGCCAGTCCATCACAGTGCAACATAGACAGATACAGAAAATACAACAATGGACACATCTACACACTTTTATAAGCAAAATAGAACACAGTCTGGGCTTTGAATCCAGGATTTTCTCACTGCAAGGCAACACTGGCAGCCCTCAAGCTGTTCAATAAATCTGATATGTATACATTTGCATTTAAATTGACAATATTTAAATAAAATGTGTCTCATTTTAACATGAAATTGTAAGTTGTTTGTTTATCTGCCACAAGTCCTTAGGTTTTGTTAGAGATAGATGTGCAACCCTCTCTCCCCTTTTCCTGACTGCCTTTTTACCAATTTGTTCCAGACCAGCTG